ATAAATAAATAAATAAAATGCACTTTAAAATTCTACTTTCTTGATTAAACCTCATATGGCTTTGCAGATAATTCTCAAAAGCTTAATATAAAACAGGATGGTTTTTCTCATGAACCAGTACTTGTTTTTTTCAGCTTTAGAGGATTAAGCCACAATATTGTCTGAAAATGTTAATTATTCAATAATTTTAACATAAGAATAATTTAGAAAGATTTCTATTAGTCAAGCAGAAAGTTGTTGAGGATTAAAAAAAACAACAAGAGCCGGGCTCGGTGGCTCAGCCTGTAATCCCGCGCCTTGGGAGGCTGAGATTAGTGGATTGCCTAAGCCCGCGGGTTCGAGACCCGCCTGGGCAACTTGGCGAGACCTCATCCCTACAATAAATCAAAAATCAGCCGGGCGTGGTAGTGCACTCCTGTAGTTCCAGTTACTTGGAAGGCTGAGGTGGAAGGATCGCCGGAGCCCAGCAGGTTGAGGCTGCGGTGACCAGGAGCGGCCACTATACTCCAGTCTGGGTGACAGAGTGAGACTCCAACTCAAAAAAAACAAAAAAACCAAAAAGATCTTAGGATACTGGACTGATTAGGACCAGATATCCCAGATTATCTAGTTCAATGGTTCTCAAACTTTAACAAGCATCAAAATCACCTGAGGGGCTTGTTAAAACACAAATTACAGGCCGGGTGCAGTGGCTCATGCCTGTAATCTCAGCACTTTGGGAGGTAGAGGCAAAAGGATTACCTGAGCCCAGGAGTTCGAGACCAGCCTGGGCAAATTGGCGAAACCTCATCTCTACAATAAATCAAAAAATTAGCTCGGCATGGTGGCATGTGCCTATAGTTCCAGCTACTTGGGAGGCTTAGGTGGAAGTATCATTTGAGCTCAGTGGGCCAAGGCTGCAGTGGCCGTGAGTATGCTCCAGCCTGGGTGACAGAGTAAGACTCCAACTCAAAACAAACAAACAAACAAATAAATAAAACAGACTACTGGTCCCTACCCCCAGAGTTTCTGATTCAGTAATTAAATAGTTCTGCAAGACTAGTTTCCTAAGATAAGCAGCAAGGCTCATTTCTTAAGACTGGTGACTGAGGCAGTTTTTCTAGACAGAATTTTCTGAGCCCCCACAGAGAAAACAGGATGTGATTGAGAACCAGTTAGAGCCAGCTAGAACCAAAATGGCAACTGATTTGCCCACTACCTGACCTTGTTCCTCATTATATACTCATTATAATACATTAGCATGCTAAGTGACACATCCTCCAGTGCTATGACAGTTCTGACCCTGCCCATTTATAGTAATAAACTGAAAGGACCCACAGTTCTTAGAAGTCTCCACCTCTTTCCCAGGAAGCCCACAAATATTCCACCTCTTGCTTAGCATATAATCAAGAGATAGCTATTAAAAATAAAACCCCAGTGAGATACAGCTGCCATTCTTCCTACAGACCAACTCAGGCTGCTGTGCCTATGAAGTAGCCTGCTCTCTGTCATTTCAATAAACTTGCTTTCATTTTCCAACAGAAACCCCAGCAATGTAAGGGGGCTGCTTTGCCTATAGAATAGCTTTCTTTCTGGTCTCTTTTATAGTAAACTTACTTCTACTTTACCTTATTGGTTCACTCTTGAATTATTTCCTGAGCAAAGCCAAGAACCCACTTGGCCTCTCAGGCCAGATCCCAGCTTTGGGGTTCCCCTGTCCTGTGCCAGTAAGTCTGGAGTGGGACCCAAAAATTTGTATTTCCAACAAGTTATCAGGTGATGCTGATGCTGTTGGTCTAGGAATCACACTGTAAGAACTACTGATTTCACTGGATTTTCTCCTTCTGAAGTTGGTATGTCAGTTAAGAGGACATACAGTTTTATTCAAAGAAGAAAATTTCATTGACCAATTTCTTATCTACTTCAAGAGTAGATAAGAGCTGTAGCTAGGCTGGGCTCAATGGCTAAGCCTATAATCCCAGAACTTTGGGAGGCCGAGGCAAGTGGTTTGCCTGAGCTTGCAGATTTGAGACCAACCCAGACAACTTGGCGATACCTCACCTCTGCAATAAATAAAAAATTAGCTAGGTGTGGTAGCATGTGCCTGTAGCTCTGGCTACTTGGAATATTGAGGCGGAAGGATCGTCGGAACCCAGAAGGTTGAGGCTGTGGTGGCCATGAATGTGCCACTGCACTCTGGCCTGGGCGATGGAGTGAGACTCCAACTCAAAAAAAAAAAAAAAAAAAAGAGCTATGACTTCAGATAATTTATTACACAAAATACCCAGTCTTTGTATATACATAGTACCTTCACCATGACCCAGTGAGATAGTTACTATTATGATACCTATTTCACAAATGAGGAAATATGGAACTGGGGTTTGAATCCAGACAGTCTTCAGAACAAGTTCTTAACCACTTCTACTACTCTGCTTCCCATAGTAGCAGATAAAAACTTAACTGTGCTCATTTATCCATTAAGAATAATGACAATGAGGTGGCTTAGGTAGCTATGGGAACAAAATGTTTAGAAAAGCTCTTTTGCTGTTCTGTAAATTTTCCTCTTTTGATCCCTAAGCCAGTTGAATAATGGTTTATGGCTCATTAGCATGGAATCAGGTATAATGTGTCTCCTACATAATACATTCTAAATCTGCCTAGATAAAATTAATGAGAAAATGAAATATCAATATCAAAAATTACATGTCAGGCTGGGTGTGGTAACTCATGTCAGTAATCCCAGAGCGTTGGGAGGCCAAAGAGGGAGGATTGCTTGAGGCCACGCGTTAAGACCAGCCTGGGCAATATAGTGAGACCCTATCTCTGTTAAAAAAAGAACAAAAAAATTAGCTAGTTGTCATGGCATGTGCTTGTAGTCCCAGATACTTGGGAGGATGAGATGGAAGGATAGCCTGAGCTCAGTAGTTTGAGGTTACAGTGAGCTGTGATTGTATCACTGTACTCCAACCTGAGCCACACAGCAAGATTGTTTCAAAAAAATAAAATAAAATAATGTGTCAATGAAATATGCCAAAAATATGCTCCACTTTGAACAAATTACTTTTTAAAAAAAATATAATAGATGAAGATGAAATCTTGCCGTGTTGCCTAGGCTGGTCCTGAACGCCTGGAATCAAGCAATTCTTCTACCTTGGCCTCTCAAAGTGCTGGGATTACAGGTGTGAGCTACCATACCTGGCCCAAATTACTATTCTTAAGAAACAAATTACTAAAGTGGAACATACTTTTTACAAAACATGTTAACTACATATTAATTACAAGAACCAGAATCCAACCTGAGCTCATATAGATGGAAAATGAAATGTGCATAATTTAAGGGCATCAGAACAGACTAGAACACGGACTTGGGAAGCATTAAGACTGTTTCTCTCTGCTTTCTAGTTCATCTGTTTTTTTCAATGGACAGACTTTCTCTCAGTCTCAGTTCACATGGTAGAATCTGGTTACCTAACAACTCTTAAATTTACATTTGAAGGGCAGTAGAATATATGCTACCCCTAAACATGCTCATTTGGCATAAGAATTACTTGGAACCAAAGGTACTTGAAACACAGTAGATACAAGAAGGACATTCTAATCTTCCCCCATCTTTTTTCCTGAAAATAGGAGATTAAAATCTCTCATGTGAAATATGCCCTCCTTGTACCAGGAGAAAGGATACATTCTTCAACTGAGTGTCTTAACTGAGATAATTCTGTATAAACAGAGTTTGTTAGAATTATTCTTATCTTCGTTTTAGCCTTCCTACATAATTTAGTTACTTTTCCACCATTGCCTCTACTGGTTCAATCTAAAATAAAAGCATGTAGATTTTGCTACTTCTTTGGGTCTTTTACTTATGGGTTCCCACATCACATAAAACTTACATTAAATTTTTGTGCTTGTCTCCTGTTATCCTATCCTATGTCTATTTAATTCTCAGGCCCAGCCGAAGGCCCTGTTTTGCTTTCCCTACACATTCTCAAATTCAGCACCACTCAGAGATCAACTGGCTGTTACTTAGTTCTAATCCCCAGTTCCCAGTGGAGAGACTTTTAATGACCTTGCTTAGGTTGAGTGTCCTCCCCTGGTCCAATCACTTATGGCTATGGAAAGTGGGATCATGCAGTATAAACTTAGCTATCTCTGTGCTTGGGGCAGGGGAGGAAATCATTGACTGTGAGTTGGACTTACACTTCAAAAGGAATCCACTCAAAAACTCTTGCAGTGCTTAATCATTTTTCTCTATCACAGGATACTTTCTATCTCTTAAAGTCTGGTATAGATAAAGAATGTTATTCTTTTCCTGAGCTATGAAATTGGCAAAAATCCTGATGCCAATACACGTTAATGGTGAGGCTGAGGAGAAATAGCTACTCATTTATTAATGGTAGAAGTGCAAAAGGGTACACACTCATGTCGAACCTAGAAAAAACACAGGTGTGTTTACTTTCTAGCAGTTCTATGTCTGGGAATCTATTCAACAGGGATCAAGAGAAATGACCCCAACAGATATTTTCAGTGCTTACCCTTCAAAAAAAAATCATAGGCAAAAGATATTTTACTGCAATATCAGAAGATAAAAAGCCACCTGTGAGGCCCATCTCTTACATTTCAATAATTAAATGTAGCACGTCTTAGAACACACATGCTCTTTATACCATATACCAAATAGAAAGATCACATTCAATTTTTAGAACTTTCAATTTGCAGCCAACATTTTACAGACAACCGCTGCTATTTAATACTATGAGGAAGGACTGCCATATACAATACTAATGTGATCTCAAGGGAAATCACTCCAAAAATATCTAGTCTCACTGGTGTACGGTGCTGGGGACTTGCATTGGTTACTTCTCTTTGTATCACACTCTATAGAGCAGCACTAACATGAACACACTCCATCTAAGTGATAAGCAAATTATATGGAAACATTTTGCAGCCAATATATTTCATGCGCGTTGGCTGAATCTTGGGAAAATCCTAGTAAATCAATCACTTACCCTCTTTTTTTTCTGCAGTACATCTCTTCACATATTGCAGACCTTAAAAGTGAAATATTTGAGGAACTCCTTAAACACCTGTGTCACTGTGCTGATGAATTCCGGGAGGTCATAAAAACTGACATGCAAAGACAGATGTTTGCTGAACTCTTCCTGCATTGTGACTGTGGGAAGGTAGGTTAAGACTTAAGACTTTCTTCTCATGCTATTTCTCTATTTCTTGTGAAGGACCAGTTTTTAGGTTGCTGTTGATGATGATGTGTATTTTGTTTTGTTTTTTAAAAGACAAAGTCTTGCTCTGTTGCCCAGACTGGAATGCAGTGGTGCCACTATGGCTCACTGCAGCCTTGAACTTCTGGGCTAAGGTAATCCTCTTGCTTCAGCTGCCCCAGTAGCTAGGACTACATGGATGTGCCAGCATACCCCAGCTAATTTTTTAAATTTTGAAAACTGCGCCTCACTATGTTACTCAGACTGGTTGCCCAGGGGTCTCACTATGTTGCTCAAGCTGGTCTCAAGGAATTCTCCTGTCTTTGCCTCCCAAATTGCTGGGATTACAGGTATGAGCCACTATCCTGGCCAATGATATTTTAAATTTCCAATCTGTTATGGATTGATATTCATTGAAAATAGTTTACTGGGGGAGAGGAAAAGGACATGAAAAATACAATCCATTTTTAAATTATCAGATTCAAACTTGATTTATCAGTTACTTTCTCCAATTGCTATCCAATTTCCTAGATGCTTTTCTCAGTTTTTGTACCTTTCTCGTTATAGACTGGCTCCAGTTTGCAGATCATACCTTGAGTGACACTGCATTTCAGAGTTTATAACTTGTTTCTAAATTTGTCTCTTTCCCGTTCTTAAGTCAGGAGCAACATAGTGAGACCTCTGGGCAACCAGTCTGAGTAACATAGTGAGGCGCAGTCTACAAAATTTAAAAAATTAGCTGGGGTATGCTGGCACATCCATGTAGTCCTAGCTATTGGGGCAGCTGAAGCAAGATTACTTTTGCTTGCTTTCTTTGTTTGGTGTTTACCATAGCAAAGAACTATCAGGAGTAGAAAGCCTATCACTTTAATTATGCTGCCTCTTAGAAACAAGAAGAGTTCATATCAAAAAGTGTGTCTAAGAATGAGGCTTGGCTGGGCACCATGGCTCATGGCGGCGGTGGTCATGAGTGTGCCACCGCACTCCAGCCTGGGTGACAGAGTGAGACTCTGACTCAAAAAAAAAAAAAAGTAAGGCTTGAGAGAATAACAGTATGCCAGGATACCAAGTGGACTTGCAAAAATATAAACTTTACTGAAATACATTTGTTTATGAACCTTATAATTATTTGTATCTCATTTTTCATAAAGGATTTAAGGAGGCTCACAAGAACGGATAAAATGCAACAAAGGAATGTAAACTAAAAGTAGGGTGAAAGAAGAAAAAAAATTGCTCAGAAAAAGCAATTATTATTATTTTTTGAGTCAGAGTCTCACTCTGTTGCCCACGCTGGAGTGCAGGGGCATGCTCACGGCTACCACAGCCTCAACCTGCTGGGCTCAGGTGATCCTTCCACTTCAGCCTTCCAAGTAGCTGGGACTCCAGGTGCACGCCACCATGCCCGGCTAATTTTTTTGATTTATTGTAAAGACGAGGTCTCACCATGTTTCTCAGGCTGGTCTCGAACCCATGAGCTCAGACAATCCTCTCACCTCAGCCTCCCAAAGTGCTGGAATTACAGGCATGAGACATTGCACCCGACCTAGAAAAAGCAATTATTAAAAGAGCCAATCACAGTCTGGGTTCTCAGATTCCTACTAATTTGGCTGAAATCAGGAATATAATTTATAAAATCTGAAATGTCTGTGTTCTTCAGACAATCCTTCTTGAATATTGCTTCTTTTAATAGAGCTTATAATAAATCTTGGGTGACATGGATGTAAAATTTTACTACCTGGTAAAATGCCTGAAGGACAACTCTTCTCTGTTGGCCAATTTAACACCAACTCATATGCTGTAAGAAACACAATGGAATAATATTTTGAGGAATTAACTGAGGTTTGCTTTTCTTCCCTCACTTAAGCAGTAGTTATGTGCTGATCTTGGAAGCGTAGGGTTGGAAAACTCCACCTTCGTCCTCTTAGAGAGTCCTAGCAGGGTTCAATAATTAAATTGACATGTGATAGAGTAACTGGAGAAAAGCATCCACACTTATTTACTAGTGTTACATGGCACAGGAGTCCTCGTAAGAAAATGAAGACCCAGACCCAAAGAAGTTAGAGGCAGTTACTTGTATACTTGGTTAGACAAAGAATAGTAAACTGTGTACATGTAACTAAATTACGCTAAAAAGTTATTTTAACAAGGTCTGTACAGTTTTTTGTTTTGTTTTGTTTTGTTTTTGGTCTCAACTTCTCATTGAACCTCCCATCCTTATCTTGGAGTTAAGGATGTTGTTGTCTTTTCTTCTAGTAAAGGGAGAGTGTCTTTCACATGGGAATTTCATCTTCTGCTTTGAAGAAACAGCACGGTCAGATTGATCTTCTTGCATCTGCTGCTTTTCAAATGTCTTTAACTTAGTCAATATGCCAGAATAGCATATTTTAACCCCTTCAGAGGAAAGACAAATAGAGTCTAGAATAAAGAAATTGAGTTTCTGAATGAATATTTTTAACCAGTAGCTGAGACAAGAATTCCAAAAAGTCTAGACTTGAAATAAAAAATGCTGGACTCTTGAGAAAGAATGGAATTATATTATAAGTAAGAATGCAAAATATGGCATCAAAGCAGTTTTTCACTGGGAAATTGTGACCAGCTGATAGGAGAAGGAGGTTAGAGTTGATGTGACTAGAGTTTAGAGATCCCTAATTCAGGGTTAACACCTGATTCTCCATTCCTGAACCCCAGTGAGGGTTGGAGGTTGAAGGCAACATTACAGACACTTAAAAACTCCAGTAGGTTGAGAGGAAATTTAAGAACAGCAGGGACTTATGCTTCATTTCCTGGATGTAGCTCAGAGAGTACAAGTGTCATAGAGAAGTCCTAAATTCAACATGTCACCAAAGAGGAAGGGTAGCAGCTGCAGAAAGCAGAGTCTAGGTGGATGGTCCTAAAAGTGCTCTCACTCACTTCTGTGGCCAGAGGAAAGGTGATGAGTGTTCCTAAATACCTGTGTGTGAAGGGCAGTGGTTGTGCAAAGACAATAGCTATGAAAGTTCTGAGTGTACCTCCAGGAAGACACTTGGGGTTAAGAATGAGAACCATGAGCATAAACAGCAAATACCAAAACAAAACTCCCAGATGACTCAGTGACAGTCAGAGTCAACAAGTGCGGTGGCTGGCGTTGAGATAGACACTCCTTTCTCTGATGTTGGGGCACTATACGAGCCCTACCTACCCTCTGCAAAATGATTAAAATATATGGACACACAATTCATGGAATCACTACATACTCAAAAGATGAGCAAAAAGATTTGTTAATGATAATCCCTATTGCTGGCAGGAATATTGGAAAAATATTTTCTCAAACATTCCTGGTGAAAATTTAATAGCTGTGGTATCTTTGTAAAGCACTCTAGATATATGTACTTAAATAAAAATATATACATGCTTCAACCAAGCAAGCCCATTCCTGAAGTTTTTGTCGCATAGAAATAAAACCACCAGTAAATAAAAAATATGCATACAGCGATGATTCTTGCGGCATTATAAATAAAATATATAGAGAGATTAATGAAATATTTACCTATATAGGGGAATGCTTTAAAAAGGACTGTACATCGATATATTGAAAAACCTGGCCGGGCTCGGTGGCTCAGCCTGTAATCCCAGCACTTTGGGAGGCTGAGGAGAGTGAATTGCCTGAACCTGGGGTTCGAGACCAGCCTGGGCAACTTGGGGAGACCTCGTCTCTACAATAAAATAAAAAAATAGCTGGGCGTGGTATCGCGCATCTATAGTTCCGGATACTCAGAAGGCTGAAGAGGAAGGATTGCTGGAGCCCAGAAGATTGATGCCAGGGTGGCTGTGAGCGTGCATGCCACTATACTCCAACCTGGGAGAAGGAGTGAGACTCCAACTCAAAAAAAAAAAAGAAAAAAGAAAAAAAGAAAAAGAAAAACCATGTAGCCCTTTAAGCTATATATCAGTTGACTTGAAATAATTTTTATCATTATTTTTGAGTAAAAATGTAAACCACAGGTAAATATTTACAATACAACTCTATTTTTGTAAAGCAAACAATGACAAAAACCATATAGGTATATGTACATAGGTACACATGTTTGTATATCTACAGCTACATGAGCCTAGAGACATGTTTGTAACAAAGAGTGATTAACTGGAGTGAGGTTCAGGGTCGACTAATCGGTCATTCTTAAAAACTTCCAAGTGCAAAAAGTCTTCTCTGAGATCCTTATTCAATTGAAGCTTTTAGAATTAGCAACATTTCATGAAAAATCATTATTAGGCCATAGTCAGAGGATTCTATTAAAAAAGATATCAAGGGCTTTGCTTTGCTAAGGGGGGAACAGTGATCTTCTAAGTGCTAACTAGCATCTGGTATCCACTAGGTTCATATTTCAGCCAACTATGTCCCAAATAAAACTTCTAGGATTTAAAAAATACAATATGTAGCCAGGCTTGGTGGCTCAGCTTGTAATCCCGCGCCTTTGGGAGGCTGAGGTGAGGGGATTGCCTGAGCCCGTGGGTTCGAGACCCGCCTGGGCAGCGAGACCTCATCTCTACAATA